CCGTCCTGTTTTCTGCCCCCCCCCCCGCCCCCCCCGCCCACCGTTATGCGCCATTTCCCACCCCACCGTGTCCCTCTCGCTTCCCGTGTGTACCCCAGTCTGCTCCCAGGTTCTGGTAACCATCCCTTCTCCCTAGTTAGCTGGCGTGCCAGCCTGGCTGGAGGGGGGGGGGACACGACAAGAATGGCCTGGCCCTGGGACCGTGCTCCCACCCAGCTCTGTCTTTCCTGACTCTGCTGCTCTCCCCAGTGTCCCGCCTGCACTGTGAGAGCGAGTCCTTCAAGATGGACCTCATCCTGGATGTAAATATCCAGATCTACCCCGTGGACCTTGGTAAGCTATGAGGCTGCTAGTTCATAATGGGTTAGGATGGGGTGAGGTTAGAGAGGTGCATGCTGGTGCTTAGAGGAGACTAAATTTGCTGCAAACAACGAGTATCCCATCACAGACGTTCTTGGGGCCCTCTGCTGTTCCCCGGTCACCAGAGGTGTGTGGCACTGGGCATTCTTACTGTGCTGGGGCTGAGCTGGATTCTGGTTTGCCTTACTGTGAGATTTGTTTGGGCTCATCTCTGACCCATTCCCTGGAGATGTCATCTGGTGAAACTGTCTCAGTTGGCAGCAACCGAGCTTTAAGGGAGACCTTTTGAAATGAGCTTTTGTGGTGAAATATACTAAATGGGTGGGAAAGACAGTCTTGCCCTAAATGAAGCATGGAAGGGCTGGAACTAGTGCTGCAGGGTCTCATGTACCTGCCCAGGGCTTAGCCAAGCCCTCTGGAATTCTCCGTGTGAATCTCGTGCTGCATCCCATGAAAACACCAGTAGTGGTGTCCTGGTAGCTCTAGTCCTCTCCATGGTGGTGACCAATATCTGCAGGCAATGTGGACACAGTGTGGTGTTTCCTCATTCCCCGCAGTCTTGTTTGAGGACTAAAGGCAGGGATGGGGGTTTGTGCTAAACCTGCCAGGGTGGCTCCTTGCCACCACCCTGAGATCTGCTGTGGCCACTGCTGTTCTGGCTGCACCCCTCACCTTCTCACCAGTCCTCTGCCCTCTCCTCCCAGGGGACAAATTCCGCCTGGTCATTGCCAGCACCTTGTACGAAGATGGCACCCTGGATGACGGCGAGTATAACCCCACGGATGACAGGCCGTCCAGGTACAGGGTTCCAGCCAGGACCTATGTAGGGGTTAGATGAGGAAAAAGGTGAAGTGCTGAGGGGCATGCCTGGGTTTTACTCTTCTTTGAGCTCCTGCCGTTCCATTGCAGGGCAGACCAGTTTGAGTATGTGATGTACGGCAAGGTGTACAGGATCGAAGGGGATGAGACCTCCACAGAGGCAGCCACACGCCTGTGAGTGCCTTTTGGCAGGACAGGGGGGGATGCGGTGCCCTAGGGTGGTGTGGGGGAGGCACCAGGGTTTCAACATGGGTTTCCCATGGGATTCCTCACTCTCACCGCTCCTCTCCTCCTGCTCCAGCTCTGCCTATGTGTCCTACGGGGGGCTGCTCATGCGACTGCAGGGAGACGCAAACAACCTGCATGGGTTTGAAGTGGACTCTCGAGTTTACCTGCTGATGAAGAAGCTGGCTTTCTAGGAGACCTGCCTCCGTGGGCTGCCCCAGAGACATTCTGCTGGTGGGGAAACAGGAGCCCTGTGACCCCCAAATCCTGCCCCAGCTTCCATACTGCCTGGCCCCTCTGGAGCTGGGGGAGGAAAGTCCCCCTCCTCATCCCAGCCTCTTGTGACTTCTGCTGGGATCTGCAGCCCTCTCCTGCATGGAGAGAGGTGCCTGATGGCTGAGTGGAGACCATGCTGGGTGCTCCGTGGACCTGCTTGCTGGGCCTCTGCTCCTGCCTCTCCCTTCCTGGGCTTGAAAGCAGGAGCAGCCCTGGCTCTGGCCAGGGACAGCTGGACTCGGACAGCCGCCTGTCTGCCTCTGGGGCTGTGGAACCATTTCCTAAGGAGCCATCCTGAGGCAGGCCGGGCTTGTTTTTGATTAAACTGGGATGTGTTTTGTAGATCTGGCTGTGCTGGCTGAGAGATGAGGCTGGCAGGGAGGGGGTATGCCTGTGCTGGGGCGAAGGGGATCCACACCACTTTCCCAAAGGACAGGCGCTCCAAACCTGCCCTGGGTTCTTCTCTGCCACCCCACTGGGCACAGTGCCCGCTGGAGCTAGGGAGAGGCAGGTGGGTGCAGGGGGCGAGGGGTGGTAGCTCATGTCCCCGAGTGAGGTCCGGTGCCCGATGGAGCCCATGTGCCCTGCAGAGCTGGCAGCCGCCACGGGAGGGAGCTGGGCGCTGGGGAGAGACCCAGAGCACATCACTGACAGGCCGCCTGTTACTGAGGCCCCTGGAAGCGTGTGGTCTCCTGCTAGGGCCACAGCAGCGGGGGAAAAAGGAGGACAAAAACAACTCTTTAGAAAAATAGCTCTTTAATTGTAAAGCATTCACAGTAGAGGTGCCTGCCTGGGTGGGAGCAGGGCCTGTGCCCGCTGGTGCACGGGTGTTGCTGTCTGCTTCTGTGGACTCTGTGATCACCAAAGGTTTGAGGAGCAGGAGCCAACCCTTTCCCTGCAGGCACCTTCCTGGGCACCTAGAGCGCAGCTCAGTGTCCAGCAGGATTGCTCTGACCTGGGATCAGGGGTGAGCCCTGTGCGCAGCCTCACCAGGCCCCACGCTAGGGCTCTCTGCCACCCCCATGGCGTTGCTTGCACAAGTCCTTGGCCAGGTCACGGAAGAAGAAACGCAGCTTGCCCTGCACCAGCTGCCGGTAGGTGAGGAAGATGCTGGTTATGTGGGTCTCCTCTATGGAGCGTGGGGAGCAGCCTGGCTCCCAGGGTCCTGCCTGAGGGGCGAGAGTGGGACGAGAGGGGTGACAATCACTATCATGCCCAGCCCAGCACAGCTGGTACCTGCGTCAGGGTGGTCTGGCTCACATGGGGAGGTCTCACCTCCCAGCTGAAGGTCTGCAGGAGCAGGAGGAAGGAGTTGGCGTGTTGGTAAAGCTGGCTCAGCTCTCTGGCCCCGCACTCCTGGGTCACCTGGCCCTGGGCCCCTGCTGCAGCACCCACCAGCAGTGCCAGGTCGCACAGGATCTCCTGTCGCTTGGTCTCGTTCTGGAGGAGCAGGCAGTGAGTGAGCTGCCCCCTGGGCCTGATTTATTCCTCTGCCCACCCTAGGTCTGGATGGGGTCCTCCACCCCCCTGTGCAGCCAGGTATGCCCACAGGCATCTTGTTAAGCATTTCTGGTGCCTGTGCCAACCTGGGAGTTCCTTCTCCGGCCCTGTGGGCACCCCGGTGCCAGCACTGTCCTCCCAGTCCCTCTCACCGATTTGGTTTTCCACTGCTGGAGGCTGAAGTCCACCAAGGGCAGCACCGCGGGGCAGCTGAGTGTGGGCAGTGCCTGGCACTGGTCCTGGGGGGCAGAGGAGATGCTGAGGTGAGACACCAGGAGCTGTGCGTGTCCCTGTCTTGGGTTTGGGGGGTGGGAGGGGTGTATTCTCACCGCTCTCTCCTCCATGTCCTTGGCCTCCCCAATGTACTTCTGGATGAGCCTGTCGTCGCAGACCAGCCGTGTTGGGCTGGCACGGCCTTCTTCCACATGCAGGAGGAAGGATGTGAGGAGGAGCAGTCCTGGGGGAGACAGGGTTATCTTGAGTGCTGTGCCACCCTCCCTGGGCAGATCCAGCCCAGGGCCATGCCTGCAGCAGGGCCACCCCTCGCCCCAGCCTGGTGGTGGCCTTGATGGCCCCATAGTAGGGGCTCGGGGAGGAGTGGGCTAGGGGGGATGATGAGGGCCTGGTGCCTCCCTGCGGTTAGCTCTGGTGCCCAGTGTTTGCTGGGGAGAGCTGAGGTTTCCGTGTTGGTGGTGTGTGCCAAGGGGCTGCACAGCCATGTCCATGCCAGGTTTTTTGTCTCCGCAGCAGGCAGGGAGCAGAGCCGTGCTCCCTGCGCAGAGCAGGGCCAGCCCTCCTCATCTGTGCCAGGAGCATGTCCAGGCATCACGTGCGCTTCGGGGAATCCCTGCTTGCAGCATCCTGCAGCGCACGTCTGCTCCTTGCTGCTGCTCCAGCCGAGGGCTCGCCTGCCGCTGCTGCCTTCCCCAGTGCCACCGGCACGCTGCTGTCCCAGGCACCTCTCGGCTGGGTGACTGCTGTGCCCAATGGCTGCCCATCCTGGCAACAGCCCCTGTGTGCATCCACCTGCCTCGCTGCCTGCCTTGGCACTACACTTGTCCCCAAAAGCCCTCGGCACAGCCTGTTTCCTTAGGACGGGCATGGAGGGATGCTCGTCTGCCCTCGTGCACCGGTAGTGGCCAGGTCCAACCAAACCAGAGCCACCCTTGGGCTTTGCTACCCACACGTGGGGCTCATCTCCTGGGGTTCCCGTGCGGGGGATGCTCTGGCTGTGCAGGCACGGTGCTTGCTGCCAACCCAATGCCCCTTCCTGCTCGCTCCCGTCCCCCCTTTTAGCCACACACTCACTGTTCAGTTCCATGCTCAGCTGGGGGCTTCGGTCCTGCATCTTCCACCCTGGGGCCAGCGGCTGATCCCCAGCTCCCGTCCCCCTTCCATGGAGGGCAGCGGTGGCGCGGGCTCCCCGCGAACTGCCCAGCCAGGACGAGGGGCCAGGAGCACCCCCGGGACAGCACGGCGCGGCACTCCGGCTCCGGCCCGGCCGCCCAGCCAAGGCAGCGCGATTTCCTGTTGTGTCGCCGCTGACCTTCGAGCAAAATCGCAGCGGGGGCCCCGGGCCCGGGGGACGGCTTCCTGCCTCCGGCCGCTTCCTCCCTTGGCTCAGGGAGCGGGAAGGGCGTCCCCGGGCGCCCTCCGGGGCTGCTCACCTGCTCTCTGGCTTGAGTGCTCAGCTGCCTGGACCTCAGCAGTCAGTGCCTTGGCTGTGCCTGTCCAGGGGGTGAGGATGGCCCTGGTACCTGCAGAAGAGGTGGCATCGGTGACCCTGGAACTATATGCCCTGCTGGGGTCCTGGTCCTGGCTGTGGCAGGCAGGCGTGAAGGCCACCAACAAACCTCACCCAGAGGTGGGCTCCATCCCTGGTGACCTTCACCCACAGATGGACTTCAGCCCTGGTGGCCTTTCTCCAGAGGTAGACCTCATCCCCTTGACCTTCACCCAGAGGTGGACTTTTAAACCTGGTGGACCTTGAACCCTGGTGACCCTCAGCCCATCACTGGTCACCTTCACCCAGAGGTGGACCCCATACCCTTGACCTTCACCCAGAGGTGGACCTCATCCCTGGTGATCCTCACCCAGAGCTGAACCCCAACCCCAGTGCGCCTTACCAAGAGGTGGGCTCTGACCTCTGCATTCATCACCCAGAGGCAGCTCATGGAGGTGGACATCCCTGGTGCATTTGTGGTGCACAGGCACCCCTCTGAGCTGGGGAGGGTGATGGAGCAGGGCGCCTGGCTGGCATGCGGCCCCTGGGGCTGTCTCACCAGGGGTATGGGGTAGAGGGGAGGTGAAGCACCCATGGACACCCCCTCCCTGGGTGGGAGAAGCACTGGGGGTCTGCGCAGTGCCAGGCCCTGGCATGTCCATGACCTGTCCCCCCACACACACACTCTGGCCTGGCGGGGGGGGGGCCAGGGGTGCACCCCTCCATACCTACGTATACACGCGCGTCTGTGTTCATATGGCACACGTGTACATGCACCCCACGTGCACCTTCAGCCCTACGTGTGCTCATGCGCACTTCCTGCAGCACGTGTCAGGGTGCGCGCTCAGATAACCCCTCCCCAGGGCTGGGCAGCCCCCCCACACCCATCCCTTTTTGGGCACTCCTGCCCCCCCACCCATCACCACCTTCCCCAAGCCCACATCCTCTTCCCCCCGGTCTCCCCACAGCCTGCGCGATTCCTTCTCCCACCCCTGTCCCTGTGGCCGGCGGTTCCCGGCAGTGCCTGGCCGGGTGACAACAGGCAGAGTAAACACCTCAGCCCCGCTCCGCCTGCCCCATGCCTCGCTCGGTCCCCGGCAGCCCACCTTGCAGGGTGCCCGGACAGGGGGTCCTGTGGGTGCCACGGCTCCAGGGACGAGGGTGGTAACCCTGCTTGCCTGGGGCACAGCTGGTGACAGCCGGAGCCACAAGTACCGGGGTCAAATACCATCGGACTTCCCCCGCACGGCTGTGCACCGTCTCTGCGGACGTGACAAGTTGCAAACGTGCCCCGCCGTCCCCCTCAGCCCCTCTGCCAGCGCTGGTCTAACGCCAGCCCCCAACGTGCCCAAGTCCCTGTCCCTCCCTGGGTGCAAACCTCTTCATGATACGGGGCTGGAGAGCTGCAGTGCCCTGCGCTCCCTGCTTGCCCTCGTAACTCGGCAAATCAACCTGTCGGGGGCAGTTTGAGGACAGATGGTAGTTGGGTGCCTAAAACAGTCCCTTTCGCCCCAAAATGCTCCATCCCAGCTGTGACAGAAGCGGGCAGGCAGCAGGACCCCCTGCCTGTGGGCAGCCTGGTATTCTTCTGCTGGAAAGGGCAATGCCAGCGTTTGCTGCCCGTGCCAGGCGAGCAGGGGGGGATGTGGGGGGGACCCCCTGCTGCTGGCCCACCTCGGTCGTGTCCCCCTCCAGCCCAAATCCAGGGGTGCTGCGTGCTGTGGAGGAAGGGGTTGTGGGGACAGTGAGTGACGCTCGGGGACCCCAGCGGGGGCCATGGGGGCTGCGACGGGCAAGGCTCTGGTGGGGGGCAGGAAGCCCGTGGGGCTGTGCAGCTGGCCAGATGCCGGTGCCAAGTTTCCCACCTCTGCTTATGGGGTGCAAAGTGCCGGGGGCGGGGGGCCAGCCGTTCACACCCACTTCGCCAAGGTGCCGAGGGCAGCCGGAGGTGCCAGGCAGCGGCGCAGGGGGGGGACGACAGCGACACATGGAGGGAGGGGGAGACCATGGAGGGGTGGCACAGCTGCTGTCCCCGCAGGCCACCCAGATGTGCTCGGTGGGCACCCGCAGGTTGTCAGTGCAAGGCGGGAGGGGGGCATGGGAAGCAAACTTGGGCTTCCAGGGGCAGGGAGAGGGGGGGTCCCAGCCCCCTTTGAAGCCCCCATAAAAGGGTCCGGCATAAAGGGAGGAGAAAGTCAAAGGAACAAAGAGAGCGGCTAATCCCGGCGTGAGCAAACAGCCCCGTTTGCTCAGGGCCCAGCTGGCCCCGGGGCCAGGGAAAGGAGCACAGCGGGGCTCTGGGGGTGCCAGGCAGCGGGGGACCCTTTACCCAAGCTGTGCCCGTCCCCGAGTGCAGGCAATCCCCAGGAGCTGGGTGCGTCTTGCCGCCCCCCCCCCCAACCTGTTTTTTACATTTGCAAATTGCCAATAAACATCCCTGGGCAAATCCCGCTCCCCACACCTTCCGCACCGCTCCCCAGCAGCCCGTCCCGGGAAAGCCCCGCGGCGGTGCCGGTCGAAGGGGCCCCTTGGCAGACGTAGCACTGCTGCAGATGGAGGCTGGCAGGGGTTCCCCCGCCTTTCCCAATTCCTGGCAGACCACACACTGCCCGCCACCCTGGCACAAAGCCCCGGAGGATGCCCACGGGCAAACCCTCCAGCCGCTCGCTGCCTTGGCCCAGGGCACCTTGTGCCAGTGGCCTCAGTGGCATCTGGGGTGATCCCACCATACCCCTTTTCCCCATCCCACTCCTCGGCCCAGCTCCCCACCCTGGTGGTGGGCACTGGGGGTGCTGGGAGGGTACCACACCCCCCTCCCTCCATCCCACGGGGTGGCGAAGGGGTTAATGCCAGGCAGCCGAACCGCAGGTGGGCGCAAGAATGAAATTCCTTCTCGCTGTCCTGCGAAGTCTGGGCACAAATATTTGCCTGCATGTCCGGTGGGGAGGGGGGAGACCACCATCACTCTGGGAGCTTGCTAATCCCCATGCCAAACACAGCCCCCCCCTCCCCGTGCCCTGCACACCCCCCGCCTTCCTCCTGCTGGGGTCACCCCGCAAGGCCTTTGTGGAGGGGACATTTAGAACCAGGGGGACACCAGCACCTTTGGGTGCTCCCATAAGCAGGGAGCTCTATGGAGTTGACGGGGCACTGGGAGCGGGCACGGTGCCCCGGGGCACGACCGGGATGTGCTTGGCCTGGCAAATAAGGCTGCTTTGGGGTCTCCAACCCACTCCCCGAGCCA